ACACCAGTGAATTACCTGAAGATTGGAAAAGAGCTGCTGTGGTTCCCACTTCCAAAAAAAGGAATAAAAAGACCTAGGAAATCAGGATAATACCTGGAAAAATACTGGAAAAGATAATAAAAAAACAGATTTACGAATATCTAGGAACAAAGTTATAACTAAATGCCAGCATGCGTTCGTTAAAATAGATCATGGCAAACCAAATGGGGATGGGAGAAAGGGGGGGGTCCCCTGTGTTCTTTCAGTTCTGGGACGACCTTGCTCCCCTCCTTTTGCCCAGTCTGTGGCAGGACCAGATTTAAATTTCTCACTTCTTGACCATAAGACAAAAATATTCACTCTTCCTCCACATCGCTGCAGTTTTTGAGGTACGAAGGCCTTAAGAGTCTTTGTGTGTGTTTCTGTGTCGTGTGTGTGTGTGTGTGTGTGTAAATCACCTCGAGAGATATTAAGAGAGCCAGTTTAGATTAGGGTCTAACTTCTTCACTCAAAACTAGCTATTCTTTTTTGCCCTTCTCTTGTCTCTCTTTGATAACAAAATTCTCTCTTTAAAAGTCTGCTGTTTGAAGGAACTGGGAATCAGCAATTATTTCAACATTGCTCTGTCTCATTAATATTTGGAAATAAATATTGGCCTTGCAGTATTTTTCAGCCATGCCGCAAAGGCAGATAAGCTGATTGTTAACCTTGTCATTATGCCCAGGGGGGAGGCCCTGCTCCTGACCACTCCCCCTTCCACCAGATACATTGCCTCCCCGTGCCTGCTGACCCTTTGGCATGTGGATGAAGGGTCAGGGAAAGAACATTGACCAATGATGGGAGAGGAAAGCTGGGAGAGAGTCGGCAGAGTAAGAATGCCTGTTTTGGGCCAGTCATACTAGAGTGCCCAAATGAAGTGGATGTGTTAAGGCAGCTGTGTTTAATTGTCCTATTCTGTTCCTCATCTGTTCTTTTCCCAAGAAATAACTTTGCTGAAAGATACAGGTAATTGTTATTAATCAAAATTCCAGATTTTATGGAACAGAAGACAAATAGAATGAAAAAGTTTTTGTTGATTCTAAAATGAGTTTCTTCATTATTGTTTATATTGCTTTTCATAACTTATTTTGAAATGATATTCAGTAGCGTTTATATAATCTGTACAATATTAATTATATTTATTATACTTTCAGCAGTTAAAATATTCTATTAAACTATTACATTCCTTTTAATTTTTTCATTAGCCTCCCAATTCCTTCTTGCATGCTTTTTAAAAACTGTAACAAATGTTTCCAGACACATACCTATTTTGCTAATTGATATATTATTTCTTAATTCTGAGAAATTAACCCACCCACTTATAATTACATTCTCCCCAAGGAAAAAAATATTGAAAATTCAAAATAGTACTTAGCTTCATATTTGTTAGTATCTAGAAAATACTATTAACACCCAATTCATAACTTCTATTATGTTTCATGCAGCATAACAGAATAGTTATAAACTGGAACCTCACACAGAACTACTTCGGTTGAAGTCAAACATTAATTAAAAGCTATAATGTGTTCAAGAAAATCAGAAAGTAACTGTAATTATAATCAACATACAATTGTGTAGAGAATGTTGAGGCAAATAGCAAATTACAGACCCTAAATATTTGATAGTTAGCAGTCTGCCTGGTAGTACATGGATTTTATCAAGTTAACAATTTAAAGGCTGTCAGATTGAGGGGTGAAAATCCATAGGATGTATACTTTAGTTTGGGGGAAGGTGCCTGGAGAATATTGATTGATATTGTAAGTTAAGAATATGAATTCACTACCTGACTTCTTTGGGCAACCAGAACTGGACCCAAGCAAAGCTGATAAAAAGTATGGAGATTTTCCTCAGGAAGCACAAGAGTAGATAACCACCAAGAACTTGTTTTCAAATAGTTCTAGGAAACAATTGATTTCAACTGAAAGCATAAGATGTATGGAGTCAAGAATCATTTGTACCAGAAACTGGATATCTTTGTCTTACCAAGAGAAAAAAGGATGTGGCAGTTCTGAACTTTGGAGCCATAAACAACATGCAATGCTCTTGGTATGTCTGCATGATTGGAGATTAAAACCAGAAAAGAAAGATTCAGGCTGATTAAGAATTGAAGTTCTAAGATCATTGGCTATTTTGAAGTAAGTGCCTAATAGGCAGTCTCTCCATTAGTTCCCATATATTGTTAAATAACCTGTTTAATTTTAATCAATTTTAAAAGAGGAAAGTTACATTGGTCATTTCCAAATCAGATGCTGATTTCTTTAAAAAGTTGTTTATTTTTGTTAGTTCCACAATTTCCACTTCAGCTTTAAGATCTCCAAGATGAATACCCTCTGGAATCAGAAATGAGTTTATTCTTAGACTTACAATCTTATTAATTTTATTATAAATGAACTTGACTTTCATTTATTAATTAAGCTTATAAAACATCATTGGGACAACTCAAACTACTTAAGTTTTCAAACCAGTTTTTTTCCTTTCTAATCTATTCAGGCCCAACATTAAAATATGTAAACTTTCGTTAGATTCAGTCACCAAACGCCACAAGTAAAAAAAAGTTTATAGTGAGAACCCAACACAGCTCCTAAATGATGGCTTCCTACACTAGCATTTTTTTCAGGCATTCAAAACAATGAATAAAGCACCGGATAACTTCAACCATCTATCTATATCCCTTTTCATGAAAATTTTAGGAGAGCTTGGCAGTATAGCTGGAGAAATCCAACATGCATGTAAAAATCACTCTACATTTGGATTTCCATCTGGGTATTCTGCAGTGGGAGCAAGAAAGATAAAAAGTGTAAAACCATCCAAGCCCTGCTGGCATATTGGATATTCCTGGCATTGTAGTAGTGTCTGCAAATCTGACGAGTTTCCCTTCTATTCCCTAATCTAAGTCATTTATTGAAGAGGACTGGGCCTAAGATGGAAAGTTATGGTACCCCACTACTTCCCTCCATTTAGATGTAGTACCATTAAGGAATACTCATTAAGTGCAATTTGTCAGCCAGTTATAAATCCATCTATTGATGATGCTGTCTAACTCGCATTTTTATCAAAAAATATGTTGTGGTCTACTTTGTCAAATGTCTTACTAAAATCCAAAAGTATTATGCCCACAGCATTTCGCTGGTACATTAATTTAGTGACTTTGTAAAGTAAGAATTGTTTGACCTGATCTGTTTTTGACAAACCTATGTTGATTTCTGGTTATAATTTTACTTGCTTCTAGGTGTTTGCAAATCTGTTGATTGCTTTTTCAGGTATTGATGTCAGGCTGAATGACCTGTAGTTTCCTGGATCTATTTTTCTTTTTTTCCCTTTTTGAAGACGGGAACCATATCAGCTCTTTCCAGTCCTCAGGTTCTCTTAGCTCCAGGATTTTTGAAAGATATGGTTCAATGTTTCTGAGATAGCATTTGCAAGCTCCTACAGAACTCTGGGATGTAATCTGTCAAGTCCCGGTGATTTGAATTCATCTAGATCATACAGATGTTCTCTTACCATTTTATGGCTTATTTAAATTTTTATTTCTATTCTGGGTTTTATGGTTATGTTTTTGGTAGGTTGGGCTATAGTTTCTTTTTGTATGAAGGCAAATGCAAAGAGTGAATTAAACAGCTTTCTCTCCACTGCCAATTACTACCTTACCATTATCTCTCACTAGTAGACAGATTGTTTCCTTGACTTTTCTCCTGCTTTTTATATCTTGGAAGAAACGTTTTAAAAATTATTTTTGACATTGTTACAAGTCTTACTTCATTCTGAGTTTTAGCTTTTCTGATTTCATATTTGCACATTAAGGCTATTTGTTGATATACTGCCTTAGTTATGTGCCCTCTTTCCATTTTTTATACTTACCCTTTTTGTCTTTCAGTTAGCAAGTTCTTTGTGTAACCCTGCTGGTTTCTTCTTGGATTACTTGTTTTTTCTTTTTCAGTGATATTGAACTGGACTGGGCTTTTACAATATATTTTTCATTTTCCCAAGCTTCTTGGACTGTTTTAACATTTAAAATTTTCATCCATAGAATATTTCCCAAGCTTTCTTAGAGTTTGTTAAAATCAGCTCTTTTAAAATTTAAGACACTGTTTTAATTTTCCATTGCTTGAGTTTGCATTATATTGAATTCAAATATGAAGCGGTCACTCTTACCCAAAGTTCCATTAGCTTCAACTACTTCTATCAGTTCTCTGTTAGTAAGAATTAGGTTCACTATAGCATTTTCTTTAGTCTCTTCCTCTACTTTTTGGATGACAAAGTTAGCAGCTAGGTTGATCAGGAACCTATTCAATCTCCACTTGATGCAGAGTTTGTCTCCTAGTTAATACCAGGGTAGTTAAAGTCCCCCATTACTACTGTAATGTGTTTTCTACTTACATTTGGTTAGCAAAAAATTCATCTATTTCTTCTGCTCAGTTGGATGGCATGTAGTATATGCCTATAGCAATGTCATTTTTTCTTTTATATTTACCCATATGCATTCTAGGTGGTTTTCATCCTTGGTTTTGTAGATTTTGGTAGACATGTAATGATCTCTTACATATAATGCAACTCCACCTCTTTTTTGGTTAGGTCTATTCCTTTTGAATAGTTTGTATCTTTCCATCAGTACATTCCAGGCATGAGTTTCATCCCATCAAATGTCCATAATGACAATTATATCATATCTGCCTTTGTGTACTAGTTCTTCAAGTTTATTCTGTGTCCTAAACTAATAGTATTTGTGTATAGGCATTTGAATCATTTATTGCTGAACCTGGGTATGCTTCTTATCTCTCCTATTTTATATCTAAGTTGTTCTTCTTCCCATCATTTTCTACCTCATTGTTTGATTGGCTGTCTTCGAGCTTGTGCTTGGAATTGTCCCAAAGATCCTAAAGATTGATCACCCTTCTCCCTCGTTTAACTATAGAAGGCAAGCCAATCCACTAATTAATTGCTCTCACTGTCAGGAAATTTCTCCTTATTCTTTTCTGCCACATAGTATTCCTCATACAAATGTAACAATGTAATATAAATATATAAACTTTTTTTTGAAAAATCCTTTTATTTGGATTGTAAAGTTGTAAAGTACAGGAAAGTTACTAAACATAGCGAAAGGATTATGTTAACAGTCTAGTAACAATGTTTGGCTCCATATGCCAGACTTCTGTTGCATGGAAGACAATGAGTTCCTTCATGAGGGTTGAATGATCCTGGACTGCAAACCACTATAACAAAAGAAAGCAAACAAAACAAACAAAAATAATAATGTCATCAAATGTATTAAAATTTTCTGCAATCAAATGAAGATTCCAAATTCAAAGCCAGTCAATTGCTTCAAGAAGTCTTGTCTACATGGGATTTTATTTCCTAAATTCAGGAATCAGATTCACAAAGATGTTTTAAGAAAAAATAAGGAAACAGGAGGCAGAAATAAATGTAAAAAGTATAAGATAGCCATCTTAGGCAAACAAAACTTTGAGAAGACTCCATCAGTTATCTGCAACACATTGTATATTAGCTAACATCTCTGCCCCATCCCATCATATTCTAAGATTTATCTTCCATTATAGGAGTCAATGTGAATACAGGTACAGAACATCTGGTATTGGATTTGCTGGGGTATTGTATTGTATGAAAACTCATATGTTTCACAGCTAGTACCAAAATAAAATATAAATCTTGTAATGTTATAGATCTTCTACTATTGATCATTATGGTTGGATTGTTTTGGTTTGTTATGCAGCTGTGATTCCAACATTTCTTATGAACAAAACTATTGAAACATGGTCCTTCAGTGATCTCTCCAGCAATTTATAATGAACTTTAAAGAACTTTAGCAAATATAGTAAGACAGGGTCGAGGTCTGCACTGTTCATTTACTTCCAAGATTAGGATCTGCTTGAGTCCAAATAGTTCTCAATTTACAACCGTTCATTTAGCGATCATTCAAAGTTACAACAGCATTGGAAAAAGTGACTTACAACTTGTCCTCACATTTATGACCATCATAGCATTCCTAGAGCCACTTGATCAAAATTCAGGCACTTGGCAACCAGAATGCAATTTACTATGATTGTGCCATCCTGGGTCATATGATCAGCACTTGCAACCTTCCCAGCTTGAACTGGGACAACAGCCACATTGCTGCAGCCACTTCACTGCACCCCCCCCCCCCGTTGCCCCCAATGCACTGCCATAGCCACCAAGCTCCCAGCACAGCACTACAGGCATCCCTCCAGCATTAGCCCTCCCCCCCCTCATCCCCCCCCCCCCCCCCCCCCCCCCCCCCCCCCCCCGCTGCCTCATACTGGGCTGCTCTCCCCACCCTGGTATGTTGGTGAAGGGAACACCAGCCACCCCTCTTGGCCAAGTTCAGCCCCGCATTCCATTTGTAGATTTCTTTAATCATATCCTCAAAGAGTAAGAAGAACAAAAATAAGACAAAAATATATGCTGCATTTTTTCTATAAAACTGTATATTTATCCAGAAAAGGGGATTTTATTTGCCTAGCTGCCTTTTCTCCCTACAACTAGACCCACAGAAACAATTCAATTAAAAAAAATATGTTTATTGTACAAGTGAATAAATTAAACTAGAAAGGAAAGAACTTAAGTATGGAATTGCTTGAAGAGAATGGAGGCAAAATCTACAGCAAAAGCAGCAGCAGCAGCAGCAGCAGCAAAGCCTCATTGTGTTAGCCAGGAATTGAACCCAGGCCTTCCCCATGACGGACAAAAATTCTATCACTGAACCACCAATCAACTGTTGGGAAAAGTTGGAGGACTGCTTTGATTTAATAAAAAAGGCATGGTTGGCCAAGCTAGAAAACTGAACTGCAAAATATTCTCTTCATGCATTTGCTCTATAAGAATGTCTCTACCTACTCTCTGAATGTGCTTTTAATTCTTTGAGCTCTGAAAGATAGTTTTATTTTCAATTCATAAATATTTATTTCTTTATTAAATTTAGTCCACCCATCTGCATCGGGGGGGGGGGTCTTACATATTATGAAAAGACAAAAAAAATAATTAAAATATTAATGCTATGCAAATTAAAAATTTAAAACTGCACACACATGAAAACAGAACTAAGGCACAATTCAAGAACCCCATGACTCTGAGGAAGTGAGGAAGTGCGGAAGATTCCTTGCCCACGCGCTTGGCATATTTAGGGTCCCTTACTGGATGGACTGAGTGGTCTTGTATCACTGCTATTAAAATTCAACGTTGCCTCACCAGGCACTCATGTATCTCTTTCTCACAAACATGTAATCTTCCCACCTCCTCAGCCCAACTGTTGTCTACCAAACTGTGCAGAGGAGCAAGTGGGGTAGCATGGGGAATATGAAGGCTTGTGTGAGCTTCCAGTGAGGTGCAAATCAGTCCCAACGTGAGATCATCAAAAGATAAGCGACTTTTGACATTAGGCTATGTGGAAGACGGTCCAAGGCTCTCCTAGGGGACAGAGGGGGGCAGATCCCAGCACATTTGTTGGAGGGCAGGAGGGGAGGGAGAGAATCAGGTGACACATAAAGGAGCACACAGTCCTGGTCCTCCTCCCCCGGTCTCCCCATGGCAGCCTCTGAGTTGTTAGACACATGGGGAAGTAGCTGGTGCAAACTCAGCCAGGGAGGAATTTTTTCCTTCCTCCCTCCACAAAGCAAAGTGCCTCCTCTCAGCTGGGAGGGGCAGCGCAACACCCAGCCACAGGTACTCTCCCTGCACTGATGTGTGATAAATTATCTTGTATGGCTAATTGTCCCATGCAGGATAGGGACCAGGGAAATTTCCCCCACAGTAAATCACCTGATGTGAGGCAGTGAGAGAGGGGACAAGGGATAGAGAAGAGCTAGCACCGGAGGAATGTTTGGGACATGGAGTCAATGACAGTGCCAAAAGCTCTTTAATTAAAAGAAATTAAAAATGGAAAATGTAAAGTGGAATAAGAAATGTTTAAAACAAAATACCAAACCAAGATAAGGATGGAAATAACAATTTTGGATCATTTTTAATCATAATATACTGATCCGTACTCCTGTTTACTTCAACTGTCTTTTCTACTTAAAAAAAGGTTTGTTCAGATACAGACTTTTCAGTTTATTTATGGTTTATTAAATTAAAAATCAGACTCTTTATCAACTGGTTCCCTGCCTACGTTCTCTCATATACCTGAACTGAAATTATAAAAATGGAAATTATTAGCTAACAATTTCCATTTATCCCCATACCAGAAAACTATGGGTTAATCTTCAAAGAAAAGAAAATGTAAGCAGAGTATTCATACTCAAATTCATGACTCTTGGTTTCTTACATCAACATTGTTGAATGTGAACTGGTCCTAACCAGTTATTGCAAATATTTGTAGGATTCTCCATAAAAATTTAGAACTGCAACCAACAAATTAATTGCATCGTATTATTTTAGTTTCCCAGGCAAAAAACAAGGTATAAAAATGTTTGAGCAGGTAAACTGGTACTTTTGAGATCTATGCCAAAAAGTAAAAATTATTTTTATATAATTACAACTCAATAGCCTTACAGTAACTAATATTCATTGACACTATTTCAGCCTGACAAGAATAAGTATCAGAATAAGCATCCAAAATATTCTACTTCTATTTACAGGCACAAGCATCAGAATAAGCATCACAAAATATTCTACTTCTATTTACAGGCAAAAACATAGCTAAACTAATTTAGGAAGGCTTAAATCTGAGATTTAAGGTAGTTTTAATAAGGTTTAGCCATGGAGCAACTGCTCAATTGCACTCTTACCTAATACATATGGTCACAATTTGTACATTTTATTAGCAATAGCAATAGCACTTAGACTTATATATCGCTTCACAGTGCTTTACAGCCCTGCCTAAGCAATTTAGAGTCAGCATATTGCCCCCAACAATCTGGGTCCTCATTTTACCAATCTTGGAAGGATGGAAGACTGAATCAACCTTGAGCCAGTGAGACCCTAACTGTCAAACTGCTGGCAGCCAGTGGTCAGCAGACATAGCCTGCCCTGCAATACTGCATTCTAACCACTGCACCATTGCAGCTCTTATTGTGCACATTCCCATTGTCCATGGTTATTTACTAGTGGACTTCTAGTACTTTTCTATGAATGCACACAGAGGCATCTGAGTTTTCAGCTCAGATTTGAAATGTTACAGAGCTTGAGAGTTTTTTTGTATAAGCCCTGTTCACGCCACATGTCATATAAAAAGGAAGGTCTCCTCTCAATACTCAATCCAATAACCATCACAGTGGACAGAATCCAAGATTCTAACTTTCAATCCAAATCAGGTGAGAGACTGGTTTTCAGAATTCAGATGAAGACCCAGTTCTTTCTCATTTTAATTTCTAAGACTTCTAAGATTCACACAGATGAATCTATAATCTCACCATGAAGTAGGTAGTTTAGGAGAGTATTGAAGACAATATTGCATAAAGACTGCTGACAAACTGAAGAAATAATACACACTAGTCAAAAATAAGGCTGACAAAGGCACTATTTGAATATCTCACAAGGACAGGGCAAGAATGATTCACCAGCTCATAGGACTAATGAATAATAACTGTTGTCCATTTCTAAAATTATTTCATAATACAGGAAATCAGCACTTAATTCTGCCATAAAAGCAATATCTTCAAATTGAAGGCCAAACAAAGTATTATATTCAAATGAGACAAATAGAATTAAAAGCAAATACTTATTATTGATCTCAAAAGTTTCATGTAAGTTGGAGGCCATTTTTCTTGGCATGGTAAAAACCTAAAACAAAACTTCAAACATACTTGACAAAAGACTTTCATCTCATACATAAGAAAATGAAAAGAGATGGAGTCAACTCTCATAGGAGGGAGAAAATATAGGAGAGGCAGAACCTGGGGGCAGAGTTAAAAACGGGATGAATCTAAAATCCCTACATAGCCACAAGTGAACTAAGTCGAACCTCCCTTGAATTCCAAAGATCCTTATCTTACCCCAACTAGATTCTAACCATTAGATAAGTGTTCTGACCCCACTTCTCCGTCCAGGAACGAAAGCCAAAAACAAACGTAAATAAGAATACTTTTACTCAGTCCAGACTCTCATTGGCTGCAAGCCCAAAATAAACAAAGAGATAAGCACTCTGGCAGCAAGTTCTACAAACCTAGGCAGCAAATGCAAAAACAAACTCTGGCAGCAATCCAACTTGCCAAGTTGATTTCTCTAAATCGTGAACGTTGACTTCTGCAAAAAGGCGTGGCACAAACAGTCTCTTTTATAATCAGGAGAGGATCTTAATGAGTATCAGCTGAGCATAATCACCTCCGGTGATTACACAGTTGTTCCTGACACCGAGTAGCCCTTCGACGGCGTGCATCCCAGAACAACTCACAGGTATTGTCTGGATCACTCATTTTTGTCTCCTCCCCACTGATCCAGGCTCAGGCGCCACCTGGTGGCCAACCAGTCTCTCCGTGCCCTGCTCGGAGTCAGAACTCTGTCCAGGGTCCTCCACCTCCTCCAGAGCTGACTCATGACCTCTCGCCGTCGGAATCTGTTGGCAGCTCCAACAGCTGCTGCCGGGCCACAACAGATAAGGATAAATTCAAGAGTGGTAGAACTCAGTTTGCTTGTGGCTATGGTGGCTGATTCTTCTTTTAACTCCACCCCAGGTTGGTTGTGCTACTCCTTCTCCTACAGAAAATGAATTCTAAACAATAGCCAGAGGTTATTATCAAAAGGACTCAACTTTCTTTTGTAATAGATATGACATGAAAGAAACTGCCCCTGATTCTATAAAAATAAAACAGACTTCTTTCTAAATAACTGGAATGGATTAATAATTGACAAAAAAAGCAATGGGATTAACTGCGTTGGTAGTCCATCCAGAGTGCAAAAAATTGTTCTTGCTCCAGAACAAAATATTATCTATTGTATATCCCTGAAACAGTATGTTTTCAATTCTAAACTAAGAGTATATTGTGAAATCTACGACATCCTTTCAAATAGCAATTGTTTAATCTAATGCAACCCGAATTTATGGAATTGGTCAACAATAAGCTGACCGTAGAAGTATCAAGGCTTTGGGAAGAAAAACAGTTTAAAATTATCAAATGAAAGATTTCAGCTAAAGTAAAAGAGCCCTTTATTCATCTTAAGTGCATTTGAATTATGCTGAATTATCAGCCACTAAATCTTCCCCATTCTTCTCCAAGTTAATATTTTGTCCTTTTTTCAAAATTTAAGTTTAGTTTGGTCCATGGTCAAACTGTTTTATTTTTCGCCGGTTACACTTTTTTCTTCTGTATATGTTGCGCCAAAGATTACTATTTAATATTTTAATTTATTGTGGATAAATTAATTTGATTCAGGTAAGATGTTTATGTGAGTGGCTGTTATTTCTTCTCTAATACCTCTAGTTAATAGACACTTTTCATAATGCTTTGTTGTATTTGTTTTTGAACAAGGAAATTTATAAATTAAAGAAGGAACTATTTTTTTTAAAAGCATTTTTTTTTAAAAAAAAAGTTGTGCTTTTAAAAGCATAGTAGAAAGAGTGGGTTGTAAAATCTATGGTTTGGAGTCAAGTGTCTAATCTCAAAGCACTGGAAATTGTCATGGATTAGGAGCAGAACATACAGAGTGACAAACAATATTAATCGGCTGCTTTGCAATATTGTGATTTGGACATGAAAAGCTTCAGTATTCTATTGCTTTTATCGATAAAGAAAAAGCGTAAGGTTTTCACCACAAGATTCAACTCATAACTAAGAGGACCTTATATTTTCTGATTCACAGATGTAACATTAGACACATACAGTTTTCATCCAATAGTATTAAGCTTTCTCCCTTTTAATTCAGTAGCATTTGGTACAAGGAAGACATCCCCAAATATAGAGTGATTGCAGAATGTCTACCTATTGAAATCAGAATTGCATTACAGACTCAAGAAAGCACAAGTAGTCTTTTAAACTTTGCTTTCATAAAAGGCATCCATAAGAACTCTTAACTCCAATTCTTTAAAGTAATTATCATCTATTCTAGAAAAGATAGGCACAAGCCAATATATTAATCATAATGGTAAATCACAATAGTTTGATTTAAATTTGATTTATACTAAGACTAAATCCATTTCTCTCAGGCACAACGAACAATGCCAACAAGTTAGTCTATCATAGTAACCAACTCATTTGCAGCTGTATTCCATTTTCAAGATATTCACCATGAACTATGCAACAAAAACCATAAGAAATAATAACCAAATTTATCACAAGCAATAAATATACTAACTGTTGTAATAAAAAGTTAAGCAGATAATTCTTCTAAAATATATATTTAATTTCCTGTATTTATAATCCTGGAAATTGTTATGCTTCCAACCTACCACAACAATTAGGGCAATCTGGATGTAGCAGAGAATTGATTCCATAACCTGGAAAACAGCGATTAATCCACACCATTTGTAAAGTGCCTTCAATGTAGTATATTTCAGGTAGTGGTGCTGTTCTTTTTCCAAGAACTTCAACTTGTTGGCTAAAGAATTTCTCTATTAGGTCTTTTGCCTGAAGTAAACAGAAATTATTCTCTTGATAAAGATAAAAATCAGCAATTTTCTTATTTATTCCTTTTCTTACCAGTATTTATATAAAAATACAAACTGTATCAATAACATTAACTGTTTATTCTTGGCTAATGTACTTATTGCAATATACAATGAATAAATATTCTTATACGACTAGCGAATGACTATGAGATGCTGTTTCAGTGTTTTAAAAACTAAATTTTAAGAAAAACGATTGAAGGAGTTATGTTTGTTCACCCTTAAGTAAAGATGACTGTTGTATGTGTTTGGAAGGGAGAGATATAAAAGCACTCTTTAAACACTTGAAAGTATATCAAAGAAATTTGTCCTTTCTCATTCCAGAATGCAGTATATATATAATACTGAATATAAATTGCAGGGTATTAAATAAAGAATATAAGAAAAACTTTCTATCTAAAATATTTTTACAAAATAAATGCCGAACATGTGGTAGACACATTGGATGTGTTTAAGAAGAAGCTAAACAGCCATGTTTTCTGATGTTTTAATTTAGGTTCCTATAATGAGTAGCAGTTTGGACTGAATGACCTAAGTGGCCCATTCAAACTTCTTGATTCTGTTACAGGAGTCTTCGTGTCAAGATAATAAATGTTTATGATGGTTCAGACAGATTCTTAATCTTAGCTCCAATTATGAAAACTGATGAACCAAAATTCTTAGTTTGGCCTATTATTCAAATAGCTAAAGGTTAAGGTTCCCCTCGCACATATGTGCTAGTCATTCCCAACTCTAGGGCGCAGGGCTAATCTCCGTTTCAAAGCCGAAGAGCCAGCACTGTCCAAAGATGTCTCTGTGGTCATGTTGCCAGTATGACTAAATGCCAAAGGCGCATGGAACGCTGTTATCTTCCCACCAAAGGTGGTCCCTATTTTTCTACTTGAATTTTTACATGCTTTCGAATTGCTAGGTTGGCAGAAGCTGAGAAGAGTAACAGGAGCTCACTCCGTTATGCGGCGCTAGGGATTCAAACCACTGAATTGCTGACCTTTCTGATCCACAAGCTCAGCATCTTAGCCACCGCGCTCAAATAGCTACAGACAATCAAAAGTGAGGATAATTAAATACACCTCTCCAATCACTTGATGCCATCAAATTTCTCCTTCAATTTCCTTTCTTTCAGAGAGTGGATACATGTTTGTAAGAACTAAATGGGAAAATATATACTCAAATCATTCTTCTTGCCTTAGTATTTTTTCTCCCTCCTGGTTTCCATAAAAGATAACCTCCTAAAATGAATAATGCAATGGCCCCCAACCTTTTGGGCACCAGGAACCAGTTCCATGGTGAGAGGTTTTACTGTGAACCGCAGGGGCATGCTGCTTGCAATCCGTTTATGCGGCGTCACTTGGTTGTGCAGCCTGGTTTCTGGCATGCCTCGGCCTGGTGCCAGTTCATTGATTGGAGGTTGGAGACCCCTGATCTAGGGGGAGACATGCAAGATTATTTATCTATATAGAATTATATGACTGGAAAGGACTTTGGAGATCTTCTAATCCAACACTAGGCTGCGAAACTCTTATCTGTAGGCAGAATTCTTTATACCATCTTTGATTAATGAATATCCATTTTTTTCTTGAAAGTGTCTCTTTAAGAAGCTTCCACCCATTGTTCTTTGTCCTGCCCTCAGATGCTCTGAAGAATAAATTGATCAACTTTTCTTTGTGAAGCCCCTCAAATACTGGAAGATACCTATGTCACCCCAATTGTCTGGTCTGCAAGCTTCAGCACTTGAGACCATGCTTCTGCCAGAATCCTGACATCAAAGGACAGAAGGTGGGACTGTGGAATGTGGGTTACAGCCAGGGTGAGAATAGATGGAAGGAGGCAGAGGTGAAAGGTGAGAATGACATGGATGAGAATGATCAGTTTGCTCCAGAATTCAAGGACAGCCTAAGAATGAGTGAATAGACTGCCCATCATAAATTGATTCCAACATCCAAATGCCTTGCTATTGAACACTGGTGACTAGCTCAAGGGAGGTAGACCAGGGTGGAAGGAAAAATCTCATGATTTGTGCCGGAATTCTTCAGATCACACATTACTTGTCTTGCAATCATTCTACTGTAGTAAAAGTACCTATAATTTAGATCAAATGGAGTTTCGGGTCATTCTTTTCTAGCGTTAGATTTGGGGCAGGTCTGACATTAGGTGAGGTCTGCAAAATTGGACCCTCTCTACCGTGGAACCATACACGCAATGTCAGCTCACAACAGTGAACAGGAGGAAGGAGAAACCTCATCTGAAGCAGCAGCCAGACCCCAAAATAGAAGAAATCCTCCTGAGTAGCTTGTGGAATTCAAAGCATGTGACAAACAGCCAAAGCTCATGTCGTCCCTAGGCATCGGGATAAAAGAAGACTGGGAGTAGAAGCCTTCTGGGGTCAACTTCCAAATGGCCAGTCATGGAAGCTGCAGCAGAGAACCCAAGGAAGAGATCATGGCACCTGAGGAGCTCAATCACAAAAGTGTACTATTCGAATAGGCACTCAATTTCCTTAGAGAGGCCTTCTGCAACCTCAAGGCGCAGAAGGCCCTGGCCCAGATGGGTGCTTTGGCGCTCTAGCCAGTGACGGCCCACATGGACAACGAAGCAAGTCCCCTCTGTGACTGCACCTTCTCTGGTGATTGCACCCCAAGCTCCAACACCTCAGTCACAGCTGCTCTGCCCCCAGCAGCTTAGCAGCCTCAAGCCCAATGGACTGCCACACCAAGGAGGATGGGGCAGAAACCCCCTGCCCTGTGGGTAAAGTGTGGTGGTGATCCAAAGCAGCTGGCTTTCTTCCTGAGCCAAGTATGGACATACATGCAGGAGTATGGGGTAGACCTGCCCACCGACAAAAACCTAGCAAGGGAGTTCATCGAGCCAGCCAAGCCACGGGTTGCGGCACCAGTCCTCTTCAAAGAAAAAAAAGATGGCACTATGAGATTGTGTGTGGACTTTAGAGGGATAAATGCCGTATGCGTACAGAAGCTATACCTTCTCCCCCTCATGAAGAACATGCTATCTCATCTGGCCAAGGAAAAAGCCTTCATCAAACTAGACCTCAGAGAAGCATACTACTGAATACGTATCAGAGAGAGTGATGAGTGGAAAAGTGTTCAACCGCCCCCTAGGGAGCTTTCAATTCAAAGTGATGCCTTTCAGACTGCAGGGCCCCCCAGCAGTATTCATGCAGTTAATAAATGAGATGCTGCACGAGCACCTCTACAAGGGGGTCTTCGCCTACCTGGATGACATCATCATCTACACTGAGACCAGGGACGACGACAGACCCCTGGTCTGCCAAGTACTGGAAATACATCTGGCAGCCAACCTGTATGTCAAGGTATCAAAATGCAAATTCCACCATGCACTGTTAGTCTATCTGGGTTACCGAGTGTCAAATGATGGAATAGAAATGGAACTGGCCAAAGTACAAACCGTCCTAGGCTGGCAACCCCCTTGCACCCTCAGACAGCTACAAAGCTTCCTAGGGTTCGTGAACTTCTATAGGCAATTCATCCCCTCCTTTGCGAAGATTGCCAAACCCCTGACAGACCTCCTAAAGACAGGGAGCCCAGGAACAAAACCTCACCCTGGACAACCTCTACAGTGGGACCTAACCTGCCAAGAGGCATTTGAAACAGTAAAAGAAATGTTTGCAAAGGAGCCGGTGTTGAAGCATCCTGACCCCGAGCAACCTTTTGAGATCCAGGTAGATGCTAGCGACATGGCAGTGGGATTGATGCTACTCCAAAGAAACAATCATGGAAACTTACAAACTTGCGCCTATAACTCCCGCAAGCTCACAGACACAGAGAGACGATGGGCTGCATGGGAAAGGGAGGCTTTTGCGGTGAGATGGGCACTGCTAACCTGGAGACCCCTGTTGGAAGGGGGCCAGAAACCATACAAAGTCTGGACTGATCACAAAAATCTGGAGGCATTTAGGACCCCACGGAAACTATCACCCAAAGAAGTCCGATGGGCTCAATACTTCAATCATTTTGATTTTGTTTTAAAGCATACCAGGGGGGAGGAACTTTCTAGCTGACACCCTCTCCCACATGCCCCAGTACAAATGTGAAGGGGAGCAGGTAGTGGATGCCATTATTCCCTCTACTCAAATAGCTGCCTAAGTGACCATTAGGTGGCAACACCATGACCACCAAGACCAACCTGCAAGCGATCTAACCATAAGACTCAAAACTGAACTGCTAGCAGCCCCCTGGTTCCAAAACAACCAACACATCTTGACAAAAAAAGATGACCTCGCATGGAAGGGGACAAAACTCTACATCCCAGAATCCCTGTGTATCCTAATTCTCCAGAGGAGCCACGGCACCAAACCGGCAGGCCACTTTGGGTTCCTAAAGACTTTACACTTAGCCGGAGTCAATTCTAGTGGCCTGTCATAAAGAAAGATGTGGATAGGTATGTGAAAAGTTGCACTATCTGCATACAATGAAGAGACGACCGGGAAAACCTCCCGGACTGCTGCAAACAGTAGCAGAGCCAATGAGGCTGTAGGAGATCACAATGGACTTTATAGTAGAGTTGCTGAAAAGTGGGGGAAACATGGTGATTTGGACTGTAATAGACCTGTTCTCCAAACAGGCACACTTCATACCCTGCAACGGACTACCCTCAGCTCACAAGCTGGCTAAATTGTTTGTGAAGCATATCTATCGACTGCATGTAGTACCTCAAAAAATTATTTCAGACAGAATGGTGCAGTTCATGGCTATGTTCTGGAGACAGTTCCTGCAGTTCATTGGGTCATCCCAAGGCTTTAGCTTGGCTTTTCACCTGAGCACCAATGGGGGGGCAGAGGAACTGAATGCTATGGTAGAGCAGTACCTGAGGTGCTATGTGAATTATCAGCAGTCCAATTGGGCAGACCTTCTGTCTTTTGCTGAGGTTGCATACAATAATGCTGTTCATGGTAGCACAAAATCAACACCCTTCAAAGTAGTGAGC